TCCCTCTCGGCGGCGCGGGAGTAGCCGCAGCTCCGCGCCCTCCCGCCCTGCGCGCCTCCTGCGCGGGCCACGCCCGCCGTTGCCGCCTGTCAGATTTCTCTGCAGTGGGGACCGGGTCAGGGTGTGCAGGCAGGCAAGGGCACAAAGGAGAAATCGTACAGGTCCCTGCCGCACCCGGTTCCCGAAGCCCGAAAGTGCTGCTAAGTTTGGGGTCGCCTGTAGTGGGCCACCTCCTCTCCAATCATCTGCAGGGATAGTGATCTCTCTTTACTATGCAAAGGTGGGAAAGATGGTCATTAGAAAGGTACAGGCCTTGGGGCACGGTTTTTGGCCCCAGGAGGAATTCAAGCTTCTGGTTTACTAGGATGAGACACTGAAGGGTCGTTAGTCTGGCAAGCTCACCTTTTGTTACCTTTATGATGACACTATCCAAGACACTGGGTCACTTTGGTGTCCCTGACAAGACTCATGTTTTGCCTCCGGATTTTCCAACCCAGTGCTTCTTCCTGCCTTGCTTGCAAAGATCCCCTTAACCAGGAGAAACTGAGTCCAGTTCTCCAGGGATCAAGTCTGGGCCAATGAGTAGGAAGTGGAACCAACTAGCTGTTGTGAATAAAATGGAGTGCTGTCTGAGATTTGCTTCATGGTGAGGGCACTAGAAAAGGGACTAGATATAAAACACAACTGGTCAGGTAGTCAATAATTTTGCAAGGCTATAATAGCCCCATAAAGGGCCCCTATATCACAAACTAGCCTACCAGAGTTTTACTCAGATCTCCAGGGTTGTCTTGCCAAATCAAGGGAAGCCTGGGGAACTTAGAGCCCTTCATTTTTCAACAGAGCCAGATGTTCAAGGCTCTTGTCTTACTGAGAAGTTAAAAATTTTATTTTGAAAGTCACGGGCTGAACTTAAAAAGAAAATAAACCTTTACTTTTTGTTCTGGGAAATTTCACACACACACACACACACACACACACACACACACACACACACAGATGTAAGAAAAGAATACAGCAAGCCTTTATGGGGCTATTATAGCCTTGCAAAATTATTGACTACCTGGCCAGTTATGTTTTATATCTAGTCCCTTTTCTAGTGCCCTCACCATGAAGCAAATCTCAGACAGCACTCCATTTTATTCACAAACACTTAGGAGAAGGAAGGAAGCAGTTAACCAATACAAAGACTGTGTCAAGAAAGACTCCAGAAATGACCCAGATGGACTCACATTGATCATGATGAGTCAACTTTAACATCAGGAGATTATTGCAGTTGCTTCAGCCCATCAACAGAAGTTCGTAATGTTTCCACAACAACCCAACAGATTGGTAACTGCTGATGGCAGAGAGAACCAATTCATATTGCAAAAGCACTTGAGAAAGAAGAAAACAATCATGCATTTATTCTACAAATTTCTATACAAATGGAACCCGAGGGTCCTCATTCAGCTTTTCCTTCCCTTGTTTTGACTTTATTGACTGAGCAATCCCCATCTCCCCCAGGCAGCAGACACTAAGAAGAAGAAAGTGGGAATAGCCTAAATATGTTAGCTGTGTAGCAGTTTCCTCTGACATTCAAACCTTTCACCTTTGTTAGCAATTGAAAACATAGAATGTGAAAAGGGAGGCAAAACAGCAGAATAGTTTAAGACAGGAAGCTTACAGGAAAGTAAAACAGTTGGTGTTTTTAAGGGGAAGTGAAATACTCCATCCTACAGGGAAGTCGCTAAAGGCCTTAAGACCAGAAGTAAACAACTTAAGATAGCTTCAGGAAGTCCCTGAAACAGACCAAATTCACTACCCTCCCCTAAAGAGTATATAAGCTACTAAAGACTCCTCAGACCAACTAAGGGAAGGCTCGAGATAAGACAAGGTCCAACGAAGTCTCCTAGACAAGCTTAGCTGCCTAGAAAGAGGCCTAGACCAGACCAGCCACCTAGACGAAGCAGAAATCTACTGAAGTGCCTTGAAGAAACAAAGACTAGCCAAGTTGCCTGCAAGAAGCTCAGACCAAATTAGTGACAAACATCTTCTAACTTGCTGAGCTTCCTAAAGTCTGTGGAGTACAGTTTAAGTATCTAGCTTTTATGAGCTGTCATCCATGGTGGTGTGGGATTTTGATGATATATCTGTGTTTGAATTATTTCTATTCCTACAATTAACCCCTCATCCATATTTCTGTGAGAATCACAAATAAAACTCATTGGTTCATCAAGTTGGACTTTAGTGGTTGTGGTGGTTTGAAAGAAAATGGCCCCTAAAGGGAGTGACACTTTTAGGAGATGTGGCCTTGTCTGAGGAAGTGTGTCACTGTGGGGGTGGGCTTTGAGGTCTCTTTTGCTCAAGCTTCACTCTGTGACACTCAGTCTACTTCCTGTTGCCTGCATATCAACGTGTAGCAGCTCCTTCTCCAGCACCATGTCTGCCTGCATGCTGCCATGCTCTCCACCATGATGACAATGGACTAAACCTCTGAAACTGTAAGCTGCCACCTCAATTAAATGCTTTCCTTTATTAGAGTTGCATGGTCATGGTGTCTCTTTACAGCGATAGAAACCCTAAGACAGGGGTTCTCTGGTCTGTCATCGGTTCCTATCTGGGGTGAAATTGCTGTTTGTTCATGTCTTCTCAGGAATAGTGTCACACAACACTTAAGACTCAAGAGGCAGAAGCAAGTGGATCTCTGTGCTTGAAGCCAGCCAGAAATTTACAAATGTAATCATGTCATACTATTTCCTGCCAGGACCTTTATCAATGTTCAACTCCCTTCATCTCTTCCCAGAGAGGTCACCAACTCTCCATTTGGTAGAAAGGGGAATGAGACTCAGATGAAGACCAGAATCTTCAGGCTGTATAGTCTGGTTTCACACTTGGTCACATATAACAGAATCTTAGCTTCCATGACTTAACCAAACAATACTTTATTTTTCTCAAGTAAAAAGAAACCTGAAAGCATACTGTCTAGAATTTGTCTGATAGCTCTATGATGCCACCCTAAGAATTCAGAAGTCTATGCTGTGTCATGTTAATGTATAGCTTTTATCTTCAGTGCTACAGAGTTTTTGCCTATTTGGGGGGTATCATGTTTGTGTTCCGGACAGGAATTAAGAAATAATGAAGGATAAAAAAAAAATCAGACTTCCTTGCTGAGCTTTCCCTTTTTATTTATAGAAGGATGCTGTCATACCACATCTCCATGTGAATGGGCATGACTTGTTCATGGTTACACTTAGCTGCAAGGGAGTATGAAGTGTTTTTTAACTGGGTTCGTGTTTATGTTTCAGAGAAGTAGGGCTTTGTTTGAAACAGAGAAGGAGAAATGGGTGTTGGATGAACAGCTAGCAGTATTTGACAGCTTCAACGTGTCTTCATTTGGCAGTTGAACAAGAACTTGACAATGAGCTGCTGTGAAAATTGAGAAAACTGGAAGTGCATCACTGTAGTGATGGAGAACCTTCACTTGTCTATGACACCTGCCCTGAAGCCAGAGCCGAAGGACAGCTATATCCACCCACTTCTTGCTTGATCACCGAGAAAGGGACATTCCTGAGAAAACTGGGGTTGTCAAACAGAAGCTTAATCAACTCCTTTGTCAAGAGTCAGCAATGAGTCTCTTTAGACAATTAGTAAAAAGCCAACTTCAAAAGTGATAAATATACACTATGTGCATGTAAACATTGGTTGTCATCATAGTTACCCTTCTATTAACTAGCACTTTGTTTGAATACAGAGTTAGTGGGAGTGGTTAGTAATTATCAACTTAGAATAGTGGGCTCTCTGGATAATTCTCTAAGAGCTTTTCAAAAACCAATATGAAGGTTTCAAAAATCATGGGTCACACTTGAATTAATAAAGCTGAAATGGAATTCTCAGGTGTCACTGTGACTCTCATTCTACCTCTAGAAATTTGTTGCTTTGACTGTTTATTTTTACAATTTCAGTTTTGCTTTTTTTAGTGTAATATTTTTTTCTTAAGTTTTGAGAACTTCATACAATATATTTTCATCATATCTGTCCCCCATACCTCTCCTTGACTTCTCGCTGACCCACCTCACCATTCTCCCCCAACTTCATGTCGCAGTAGGTCCAATTTGTGCTGGTCATATACACATGAGTATGGGGCATCCACTGGAGTGTGGTCGGCCTCCCAGGGGCCACGCCCTTTAAGAAAACTGTCTCTTCTCTCCCCAGAAGCCATCAACTATCAATAGCTCCCCAGTAAAGGGTTAACAAACCACACCTCCCTTCATGTTAGAGTGTGGACTGGCTGGATCTTATACAGATCTTGTACAGATAACCATAGATGCTGTGAGTTCAGAAGTACAGTGGTCCCATCACATCCACAAGACATTTGTTTTGCTCTGGGTCTTAGATTCTTTCTGCCCCATTTTCCTTGATGGTCTCTGAGCCATGAAGAAGGGTGTTATATAGATGTTCTACTGTGGCTGAACACTACACTGACACTCTCTGTATTATAATCAGTTGTGAGTTTCTGTGTTAACCACTGTCAAGTACACAAAGGAAGTTCTCTGTTGAGGTCTGAGAGCTGCATTAATCTATGAGTGAAGAGATGTATACTTAAAGAGCAATTTGATACTATGTTCATTTTGACAGAATAATTGCATTAGAATTTACCTCTGGGGCCTATGAGCCCTTTGACCATGGGTTCTTGTCTACTTTTATAGTACCAGGCAGGTGTTTCCTTTCGTGGAGGAGGCATTAAATCCAGTCAGAAAACAATTGGTTACTTCCATGACATTTGCGTCTCCATTGCACACATGGGAATATCTTGCCACACAGATCCTAATTATATTCAAAGTGTTCGCAGCTGCCTAAGGCTGTTGAAGACTGGCAG